ATATGTTTGTTAATAAAAACATTTTTCTTAATAAACATTGCAAGTTTTTTTTCGCTTACTAATAAATTAATAAATTAATTTTGCAATACTCATTTTGATGTAAATACAAATGATAATTTTTAAAAAGAGATAAAACGTTTTGAATGGACAAAACTGCAGTATATTGTGTGGGGATAGCACTAAAGAAATATAGATGTATTTCCAGGCTATAAGATGATCACGTAGCATGTAGCGTTCGATGGGGTGCTTTTCATAACGTTACCCAATGCTTCCTTATATGGCACATCTGCTTATGGACGAGTGCGCTGTTAGCTTCGCGTGCATTTGCTCGCGTTTCTACGAGCACCCGCACCGAGGTAGATTATTCTCATTACGGATGCGGATGAATGATCTCCGTAACGGGACGGGGTGCGTTTTATAAAGATCATGAATAATGATTGGGAAATATCTTTCCCGGATTTAACGAGATCAGAGATTATCGAAAGATACAATAATAAGAATTAATATTTATACCCTGGCTGAGGTAATATTTTTCGCTTTACATTTATTTAGATGCATATAGCATCAAAAATTAAATCGAATCGATTTAATTAGGAAAAGGGAGGATTTTACCACTCCAACCGGAGCTGTGATTCAAGTCTGACAAATTTAGTCGGCGCGCAGTCATGGTTGGAAAATATGTAAAATAAAAATAAAAACTTTTTTGCGCATCATTTACCGCGCTTGGTTCTTAATTAGCCCGTTTTCTATATTCATTAATATTTATATACACACATGTACATGTATTGCAGATACTTGTAAGCACTAGCGGATGCTGACGTCGATAATATGAGAGGAGTTTCGGCAAAATTATTTGATTTGATATTTTTTTTAGTATCACGCTTAGCTTTTATTTTTGATCCTGCTTCAACGTTTAATGCATTTTTTCTTAGATTTTTTAAACAAATTTAATAAAACTGATTTCTTTTATTTAGAAGAGGGGTTTACCCCCCCCCCTCTCCCTAGAATCCGCCAGTGCTTGGAAGATATAATTCTTAGGAAGAAATACATTGCTAAATAAAATATATATTGCAATGTAAAACACATAAACGATAGGTGTGGTGGAGAGAGGGGAAGAAATGGGCTATTAATCATGCAAAGAAATTTTGTAATGTCATTCCTTGTCACGTTAAGTAATTCCCGCCACAAAAGATAGAAGGCAAGATTCGCCTGGTGTACATAATAACTGTGTACGAGAATCAACTAATGTGAAACAAATACTGCAAACACCGTGATTGAAGACACAATCGTACTACAATCGAAGATAAAGAGAAAAAAACAGAAGAAAAATCGTATAACGAGACGACCATTTTCCTCGAACGCGTAGCTTCGTGCGAAGTCATCGTCCTTGTTTTTCTCAATATATTGTACGTATATACGGTACCGTTGCGTGCATTGTTACGTCTCAATGGATACTCGTGCACACGAAAGTTGGCGTAATAATTCGAGCTTGTTAAAGAATACGAATGAAAGGCCTTTCAATATAATTTCCAACGCGTGTTCCGTAAGATCCGTTTACGAACAACGTTGTAAAATACTATCACGATTATCAGAAAATCTGCGCCACGAAGGTAAGAAACGTAAAACACGAGTGCGCGTGAATAATCAATAAATCATGAGAATTGAACTACCGGTGCGATTCTGTGGATAAGAAGACGAATTATATCGTAAGATTCATCCCCGCTTTTCTATTTTCAAGTCGAAATATAGCATTAGTTTTGAATATATAAAGTAAACTTATTATAACGATTAAGATAAGGTTTAAATACATTAGAAAGAAGATAAAATGTAGTATTAATTATTAAATTGATGTAAAAGTACAATATTTGATGAAGCTGAATTATATTATAAATATTATTTTTTATAAAGCATATTTTGTTAACTATTTTTTAGCACATACTTATGACACGTTTCTAGTTAATAAACTTTATCTAATATGTCTTCAAATTATAATTTTTTCTGTTAATATACACCATCGCATTTATTTTATAAAAATTGGCCATAAATAGCAGAAAGTAATAATAATAATAATCTGATATGTGAAATTAAAAGATAGATTAATTTCTATCAATATATAAATTTTTTTTCATACATCTTAAAGCAATATAAAACTGTAGCGCACTTTTTTCCCACAATCACATTCGCGCGGATTTCTGCAAGAAGTTGAATGACTTCCGTCATTCCCAACGAAACCGGGGTGGATGATTTCCGTTCGGTGATTTCGAACGCATACATACGCGCATATGTGCGCATATCGTGAGGGGTATTTAGGAGGAAATCTAGAACGCGTTCATATATAACAAACCGCTTCTTGGTTCTTTTTTTTTGTTGTCTCGGATATGCGGTCATCGAGTCAGAAAATCATCGTCCGCTATTTTCTGCAATTCATACTCAACGGCGTTCGCGTGCGCCCCGTATAGAGAGTCATCGGCTCGGGAAATCATCATCCGTCATTTTTTACAATGTATGCACATTGCACTCGCGTGCGTGCCCGGGGTCCCTCTCTCGGTGTGTACCGAAGGGGCTCGAGTGACGGTATTATGCCGGGTAGTCGAGCACCTATCCCCCGTATAGATGGATGATTCTTTAATGCGCTCTCGCGTGGACGGCCGACGATAACGCGATCGAATTTATTTTTTCTTGAAATACGGAGAACGTAATGTATGCCCTGTCTCAAACGTCTCACGCGTCTTCCGTCCATCTGGAATCTATAGATTCCAGAACTCAAATTATAAAATAAAATTTTTATAGCGTATTTATAAAATGCTGCATATATAAAGAAAATTAATTTTCTTTTCTATGATTCTTCAATCATATTTATAATTAAATTGGTAAAAAATTATAAAAAATGATTTTTACTCGACCCAACCAGCCATATTTATTAATTGTAACATTCACATAGTGATTGAAAGATTTACACAAAAAAGAACCACAACCAATGTTACAATTGATAAATGCATGTAGCTGGATCGAGTGAAAGCCATTTTTATTAATTATTTACTGGCGAAGTTAAGTTTCTGATTTGTCAATAAATTATGTTTAAACACACATTGGTCAATTATTTATCATTCTTATCTCTTATAGTTTCGATGCGGAGACACGCAGCAGTAAGGAGTACTCATGCGACCGATTTCATACGTTTCGACCGCGCCGACGATTTGGCGAGTTTGAGAAATTAAAGATCCATCGACACCTCACGCCGTCATTAAATCTCGGCGATTTCGAAACGATCGAAACGCGACGGATGGACGTGCCGTTGAGAGCGCGCCGATGTATCGGCATGAATATAGCGTAAAATCTGTTTCTACACTGTGTACACAATTCTCTCGCGTGGAACCAATAGCCCACGCTGGGGCTGTGGTTACACACAGCCGCTTTATCATTAAGGGGAAACCTCGGTGTTCGAGCGGGAGCTCGAAGTATTCAAATGATCGTGCGCGCGCGGGAACGCCGGTAGCAATCGAATGTGCAACAGTGTGGATCGTGGCCGCGCAATTAGATTCGGTCTGCACGGTCGAATCGGGATCGGATGTTCCGTGGTTCCCACACCGCGCGCGGATCCATTCGCCATATACCGAGGAACGCCAGCCGAGGGACGATCCCCTCTCGATACCCGCGATCGGCCGATCGTCGTCGCCGACGGCGGCGATCGAATAAAATCGCCGGAGTTACGTCGCCTTTAACGAGGTCCTGCCCGGCACGATTATCCGGTGTCATAATTAATTAAGGACTTTGTCGGAATTCGGATCTGATGGCATCTCGCTCCCGATAAACGTTTGTTATTCGACAATTCCGCGTTTATTCGAGGTACTCGCGTATATGCAAATCCGCGGCGACTACGGCAGCATGTATACCTACGGTACCGGCTCGGATTCCGTTCGCAATGAATTAAGATAATTGAAATCGCGATAATTGAGATCTGGCGCACATCGCCGTTTGTGCAGCATCGAGTTGTAAAAAGAACTCGCCGAATCATGCAATATTAAAAGACGTTTCAAGAGCAGGCTCGATTCCTATATAAGGCGCGTTATAACTTGATTTACATTTTTATCGTCCGTCGCATTCATTCGGAACGTCTTTAGCGTCTTTAATGTTCTTATGTTCTCCATTTTTTTAATTATTAATAAATTATTATGGGTAAACATTTACAAATCTGATTTCGAGCGATGAGTTATCACGAACAAACTCGTGACAACGAATTGAGATTTTTCTGTCCAAACATCAAAAGAGAGAAAATCAATCACTATAATAATAAGCCGAGCCGAGCAACGTCGCGAGCGTGTTGTCCGTCAGCGTCGATGACCTACTGCTACTACTGAAAAATGCATGCCGGCCGTCAGTCCTGGTGGATGGGGTACATTGTCTCGCGAAAGGGATGATGCCTTGAGCAAACGTGACACGTACGGTGAACTTGACTTGACAGCGTTGGCGTGATTGCCGCGTGTTGGGTGTGGACACACGTTGACTGAACATAAACTAACAGCGAGGGTGAATTATGTCTAGAATTACCTTGCAATAAGGGGGAGACTTGGGGGGGACAAATGCGCAAGCATCCTTGATCTATAAATACGTCGACGATTTCTGCCTTTGAGATACACGTAGGTGATTTTTTTAAAAGCCATCGGATTCGTCGGCAGAGATTTGCGCGTCGAGTTCTGACAGAATTTTTTGACGGGGAAATATTTTTAAGGCATTCGATTTCGGAAACAGTATTTTGGAAGAGTCGATATATTTTAATTATATTATTATCTGTACTAACAATTGTGTGTGAAAATTGAATTCCGCTTGAAAATGTTAAGTAATTTAGATGTAGAAATATGAATAAATTTATAACATTGTATTACAGTATGCTTATTATTCTGAATATAAATCTAAGGATTCTTTTATGCGGTATATCTGTGTCTCCTCTTCTCTTTACTAAATCGATATGACAGTTGTCTAAATTATAAATTCAATCATACCTGATGGAAGCCAAGATAACTCTCTATGCTATGGGTCGCGAAAAACACTTCCCCGTCGCAAGTCAGTATTAGCAGGAACCCGTTCAGTGCCTGGAACAGAAAATCGATCTGTTAATTAATTCAATTACGAATGTATGCGAGAGCAACGGTATTAATACAAATTAATAAATTTGGAATCAAACATTAATACGCTTTTTTTATTTCGTAAAAATATTATATTGCTAATAATCGCGATAATAGGCGGAACTGATTCCGCCTGACTCGATCGTCTCTCAAACTAAAACACGTAAACTCGTCCGGAATTGAACGTAATCAGGCTTGAGACTGCTCCGTTTGCATCGGGTCGAAGCTCAAGAGGCTAATTCGTGGCGCGGATAAGTTAGGGGCACTGCAAAATACAGGTTCAGACGTTGTTAGACGTACGCGTACGCGGGAGCGCACCCCGCGCGAATAGAGCGGCGGCACGAGAACGAAAGGGTACGTTGCCTTTTCGAAACCGAAGGTAGCCTGTAGCGTTTTGCGGCGGCGGCAGCGGCATCGGTCGGAAATGTTCCGGAAAGTTTTCTCATTTGTCTGCCGACTCGATACCCAGCAAATACCAAACGAGCTTGCACAACTCGAGTGTTCACCTCAAAGCCCAAAATACCTGTTATTCTCATAGCTCTCTCACGAGAGGGAAATAAAAATATACCTTCACGATATTCAACCAATAGACATTGAAGTTGAGAATCGACTGATATCACAAACACGATAAATATAACAAAAAGGTGATAATGTCAATTAAAAAATAAGTGTAACAAAACTTATCTAATAGAAGTTAATGAAAGCTTGAAGAAACAAAAAATAAGATGTCCTTAAAACAATATCTTGCGCTGTCGAATCTACAGATTATAAATCTTCAAATTATTATAAGGTAATATCAAATGCAATTAAGTTGCATTTAAAATGAAGTACTGAGCAAAAGAGAATCTGTTCGATAATTGATTATGGCCCAATAATTTTTCTAGCACAATGATAGTAGAAATTCCTGAAAAAGGGCAAACTTTGAAGCGAGTAAATCTTGGAGAACAAAGGCTACCGGTATACCGATAAGAATAATTCAAGTAAATCACGTAATCCGGCGTGGCACACACGATTAAGCTTTCCGAAATACAGAGGCAATTTCGAGCCGCCACGCGAGAGAGAATAGTGCGGCGGCACGAAAACGGAAGGGTGCGTTACCTTTCGGAAAGCGGAGGGCGGCGAGCGCGTTATTTCTCACCGGGAACGCGCTCTGAAAACGCCCCGCCTGCGGAAAGTTTTCCCATTTATCGGCGGTCCCGATACCGGCAAATACCAAACGAGCCCTCGCCTCGGCGCAACGAAGCTGAATGCCGGCGCATCGAAGCCGAAAATATCTGTTCCAGTTTTAGCAGTCCTCGGCCCCGCCGCCCTACCGCCGGTTCGTAAGCGGGGTAGGAAACCATTTAAAGCCTCGTCCGCTTTCCGCCGTATTCCGCGAGCTAAATGTGTATTGTTTTGTTTTATTTCGTGGCGGCGGTGCCAGGTACGCCACAGACCGCGGAAACTTATTGTTCTGAAATATGGCGAGGAGGGCGCCGATATCGGTTGAGCGTAGGAAGAAGGTGCACCCCGATCTGGCAGGCTTACTAATTTATTCTCTTGATAAAGTTTTTACTGCAACATTTTTATTTTAATTGAATACTCGATTACGATGACGTACGTGCAAATAATAGCCTCCCACGACGCTAAGACAAACCTCGACAAAACCTAGTTTAAATAAAAAAGATAGTTAAATTATAGTAAAAAGAATTTAAGGTTTTAGAATGTTTTATAGATTGTAATAATTATTTTTTTTGTTTAAAGCAGGTTGCTCTCTGTGCTATCCTTATCTTTTCGTCTCGCAATTTTAATACATAAATCGTAGTAGTGTACAATTCTTTTTTGATGGAAATCTTCGGAGATTTTCTCGCCGATGCAATACGTGCTCGTAAATTTACGATAATTGCAGATATTTCGCGGCTTCTTAATCTTAATCCATAGCTTCTGACAATCTCGCAAGGAACGATCGCGGACTTTGTAATATCTCATTATTGCCAGGGTAAAATAAGGGCCTTGGCACATAGAAAAACTTAAGCAGTAAAACTTAAACAGTAAGAAATCAACGGTATGGATTCGCTACCGCTTAGGGCCGTGCCTTAAGTTCTTGACCGTGATTGGCTGATTTGCTTACTGCTTGAGTTTTACTGCTTAAGTTTTTCTATGTGCCACGGGCTTTAGGGTTGTACTTTTCAGAAAGGAAGTTAAATAATTATCATGGTAATTGCACAATTTAAATTGAGATGTAAATAGATTTCGAATTGATCTCTTTGGATAAAACAAGGTGTTACGATAAAAAAATATTGTCATTTCAAGTTGAAACAAAACTCACGTCTCTCTCATTTAATAATATAATTGGTGAAATTGCAATTTTTATTTCTAGCAATATTATAGGTACTAACTTTCTACGATAAGTTATACTTCTTGTAAGAAACACTTAAACATCAAAAACACGTAATTAAATAAGCTTCTTTTCTAATTAGATCAAAGTATAAAATTTTATAACATTGCTACTTTTTGTACAAGAATTTATAATATTATTTTACGCGAAATAGTGCAATGTCTAATTGCAAATATCTTTACCGGAAAATCTAATGAAAAAGATAAAGACTCGTTCTCTTCTCGGTCACTCATTCGCACGTCAAGTGTGCAACCCTTCGCAGCCCTTATGATTAAATATGTCACTGTGTCAAACTCTCGGTTTCATTTTCTCACCGCGGAAACAGGCGCTCCGATTCCGTCCCGCGATAGCGTGGCATACAAAATGGCACGCGTTTCCGTGCGATCGCATGCGCGGATGCTGCGTTTCGATTGGTTAATCCGCAGGGTGGGCTCCTGCGTTGCGTCAATACGGATGTGCGCGCGAGAGCAGGGGGGGGTGAGCCTCGGGGCTCACGAACTCACGACCCTCTCTGCTTCACCCCACACTGTACCACTCCGCGTACGGACACGAGCTATAATAGGATTTTCTTCTGTGTACTTCCCCCCTTTTCCCGTCCCTTTGAAATGGCCGACGTAGCTATTCCGCGGAAGGCATCATCCCGCGAGACTCGTTCGTCGTTACTACTATAATTGCATTGTTTGGGGAAGTAATCGAGTTTTCTCGATCGACCGACGGAGTCTTCACGATTATGATACTTTACTCGCTTTGTCCAGTTGCCATGTGTTTCATGCCAAAATAAAAACACGAGTAATATTTAAGTGACCAATACGTCTCTTGAAGTAAATTGCATTGCAAACGCAATGCGCGTTAGCACAAATCCCTTTTTTTTACAGATAAACATTTATAGAAATAATTTAGGACAGGATATCTTCAGGATCTTCGGAGGATATTTTTCAGATTAATGTATAATCGAAATGTAAAATCGAATTTATTCGCAACCGTGTGTCAATTAATTTCACAGCAATTTCCCATGAACGTCTATTGAAGCCGATTCGAGGAACGCCGTTTCGGTTTCTTGAACTCGGGAGCGCGATCGGCCGAGATTCCGCAATCTATGCATACCAGCGTATCCGATCGTGCTCCGGAGGCTCGCGTCCGTCCGTGCCCGTGACTCCCGAGGTTCGCATGAGGAAAGAAAATGGAAAGATTTCGTGCGTAAAGTATTATTGGCGACCCGCTAATGCGAGAGAGTCAAGGTGAGGATGAAGGGGTATTAGAAGTTCACGCTTGGACGAAACACGCGAGTGAGCCCGCGCGAGTGGCACGCGACTGATTCGCCGGGCGGCACACGCGAGAAATAGAAAACCACGTACGTGTGTGTCTTTTTCGCCTGCCTTTCTTCTCTCTTTCTCCTCCTCACGGAGAGAAACGCCGCGCGTTTTCCGTAATGCTGAATTTAATATCAAATTTAATGCCGCGACGAGTTGCTTTTCTGCATTATTCTTCAGAAAGACACTTCGTAAAGTTTTTCAGTCTTGCATTTATACAATATATTATAGCAATCTCGAGCGAGCGAAACAACAGTCATCGCATATCATATCGCACGTGGCGTGTAATAAAATTAGATGGGGAAAGTAAAATCGTTAAAGAGTAAAATGCAGATCGTCACGCATTTAGATTATTTCAATTAAGGGCGGTATTGTACCAGTATTTTATTCATGAAACGAAGTTTTCGATGGTCATAAGTTACATTGCTGAAACATATTAGATTACATATTAGATTACAGATACGCGTGTACGCAGTATATATATTTTATGCAACACGTGCATGGAAAGTGCCCCATTACGCACGCTACGCGTGTGTGATAGACCACTTTCCAGGCACTTGCAACATAAAATAGGATGTGTAAGCCGTGCTGGAAGATGAAAATTCCCGGGTGCGGAGTTTACGCAGGCCTCGCCTTCGGCTCGTGCGTAAACTCCGCACCCGGAAATTTTCATCTTACGGCACTTGTTACACAAATAACTATTTATTTGTTTTTAGCGTGATACCTGGGATCATATTAATTCTTTCCGCGGGAAAAGCGCTGGACACTGGCTCACAGTGTAGAGGATAAACATGCGATATCGCAAAAGTGCAAAACTTGCGGGGCCATGCATTTTAATTCAGTTGCCGCGGTAGAATCGAAACGCGTGTCTTTAATCAGCTGTTAAGCTACAAAGTATTATAGAATGGAATTCACGTGACGCAAGACGAGGCGCGGGGAAAAAAGATACATATACCTACGGTGAAAGAGAGAGAAAGAGAGAGAGAGAGAGAGAGAGAGAGAGAGAGAGAGAGAGAGAGAGAGAGAGAGAAGCGAGAAGTCGTTCGCGTTTAGAGATCAATAAGGGTGTCGAAGATAAGCCGTCGCCGCTAAATACGGGCTGAGCGTTCCGCGTTCATGCCGGAGCGGATTTTCATGGCTTTTCATTTCCATACGCAACAACGGGTCATACGGCTCGCTGCTCCGCGCTCGTTGCGCTATTATCGTTATGATCGCGTACACCGTCTTACTCCGCTCTCGGTTAGCCGATTAAAAGAAATCGCATCCGAATTAGCCTG